AGCTATAATCAATGGATACACTTTTCAGGAAGAAAATAAATGTAAAACTGATGAAGCAGAAATTAACATGGTTCTTACATATTTATGCATTTGGTAAACAAACACAAGAGCTTTGTCTTGAACACTCAAGAGAATATTTCCAGTTTTAGCCTGCAAATGACAAAAACTGGGCTAAAGCTGTATTTTTTCCATTTTAAACCTGAAAAAGCACTACTAGCACTACCAGCATTTCACATCAATTGTGAAATGATTTGATCTAATATTTTATTGTCTATAACTTTCCAATGGGCTGGAGTGATAGCACAGTGGGTAAGGCGTTTGTCTTACATGCAGCCAGGTCAGCTGACCTGGGTTCGATTCCTCCGCCCCTCTCAGAGAGCCTGGCAAGCTACTGAGAGTATCTCGCCTGCATGGCAAAGCCTGGCAAGCTACCCGTGACATACTCAATATGCCAAACCCAGTAACAACAAGCCTCACAATGGAGAGGTTACTGGTCCTGCTTAAGCAAATCGATGAACAATGGGAGGACAGTGGACAGTGGACAGTGGATAACTTTCCAATGAACAGAGCACAACAAAATTGGCTCCTTTCAGAGACATGTGGAGTGTATGTGTGTGTGTGTGTGTGTGTGTGTGTGTGTGTGTGTGTCTGCCTGTTGTTGCTTTTTAAATTTTTTTTGCGGGGGGGAGTGCTGGAGAATGACTCCAAGGTTGCAGGAGTCCTGGGTTTGATCCCAGCCCTTCATGGTCCTCCCAAATCAACCATCGTAACACATTTCCAAAAGGGCTAAGACTGAAGTTCAAGTATAAGGACACAAGTCTTGGATTCATCTCCAGCACTGGCAACGCAAAACAAACAACAAAGCTTTGGAAAATTCATTCCATCTAAGGAAGAGAATTTAGTTCTTTCTGCACAAGGATCCCCAGTTTGTCACTCTGCTACTCATAAGCTTCACTTAGAAAAGTGAAAAAGAGGAAGATTAAAAAAAAAAACAAACCTAACAGCCAAAAGAAAAAAAAATGGGGTGTGAGAGATAGTACAACAGGTAGTGCATTTTCCTTTCATGTGGCTGACCTGGATTCAATCCCTACCATGACATATGGTCCCCTGAACCATACTAGGAGTGATCCCTGAGCACAGAGCCAGGAGTAAACTCTGAGCACTGCTGGTTGAATACTGCATTTCGCCAAAAAACAACAACAACAACAAAAAAAAGGAAAACAAGAAAGATTGCTTACCATATTATTTGCAATTGAAACACTGAATATGTAACTTGTAGTATCAGGGCGCCAGAGAGATAGTACAGTGGGTAAGGTGATTGCCTTGCACGCGGCTGACCCAAGTTTGATCCCCAGCATCCCATATGATCCCCTAAGATCTACCAGGAGTGATCCCTGAGTGCAAAGCTGGGAGAAAGCTCTGTGGCTGAAAACACAGAGGTGGGGGGTGGGGTCGGGGAAACCAAAAACTTATCCTAAGTGCTATTTTATCCTTATGAAAGTTGAATGAAAATTAAGTTAAAGGGGGGAAATCTATCCCCCCCCCCCACATACACACATGCACACCTGGAGTTCTCAGGACTCCTGACTCACGGATCACTCCTGGCAGAGCTTAGTGGTGCCAAGGATCAAAACTGGGCTGGCCAGGTGCAAGACAAACACCCTACCTGCTATAGTATCACTCCCGCACCTAGTTAAGGACTTTTAATTTTTTGTTTGGAGCCATACCCAGTGATGATCAGGGCTTACTCCTGGCTCTATGCTCAGGGATCACATCTTGGTCAGTCACACGCAAGGCAAGCACTCTATCTGCAGTACTGTTTCTCTGGTTCCCTATCTTTTAATTTTGGTCTTTCCTTCCTTCCTTAGTTTTTTTTTGGGCAGGAGAAGGAGTCATATCCAGTGATGCTCAGGTTATTCCTAATTCTGAATTCAGCAATTTTTACTCCTGGTGGTCCTTAGGGCACCATATGGGATGCTGGGGATTGAACCCAGGTCAGCCACATACAAGGCAAGTGTCCTACCTACTGTACTATTACTCCAGTCCTACTCCCTTTCTCTTGCTTGTATGCTTTCCTGTGCCATGGTTCAAAGCCAGGGGCTCAGATATGCAAGATAAGAATACTATCATTGAGTTACATTTCAGTTTCCCAAATATTAGAATTTTCATTATCATTCAATTTTCTGATATTGATATTTAAAAAAAAAAGTAATTCTGCAATGTGTGTGATAGCACAGCGGGTAGGGTGTTTGCCTTGCATGTGGCCAACCCAGGTTTGATTCCTCCATTCCTCTCAGAGAGACTGGCAAGTTACCGAGAGTATCCCACCCACATGGCAGAGCCAGCAAGTTCCCCATGTTATATTCGATATGCCAAAAACAGTAACAACAAGTCTCACAGAGATGTTATTGGTGCCCACTTGAGGCAAATGGATGAACAATGGGAGGACAGTGATATATATCTATATATATATATATTTAGCATTTCACTATAATTGAACATCTCAATTTTGATGCATATAAAAATGGTCATAACAACATTTTTTGAAAAATATTTTCTTTTAAAAAATTTTATTTGCTTTTGGGAGGCCACACCCAGCAATGCTCAGAGGTTACTCCTGGCTCAACACTCAGGAATTACTTCTGATGGTGCTTGGAACACCATATGGGGTGCTGGGGATCAAGCCTGGGTTGTCAAGTGCCCTACCCACTATACTATCTCTCTAGGCTGGCCACAATTTTTTGTTGGAAAGTGTTACCTTATTCTTGACAGGAACTCTCCAGCTATATACATAAAACACTGTTTTACAAACAATTAGACAGAACAGGATTAGAGAAGCATAATGTCTCTCCCCAGTATGGATTTCAGCAACATAACTGTTGCACACCCGAACACATTGCAGGAACTGCATCCACCACATTAAAATTAGTGACTTCCATAGTTTTCTCCCTCCCATACTTCTTCCCTCCTGCTTTTGTGTGTGTGTGTGTGTGTGTGTGTGTGTGTGTGTGTGCAAGCACGCGCGCATTCACGCTGGAGATCAACCCCAGGGCTCGTAAATGCAGACTATGCACTGAGCCTACAGCCTGGGTGGAGGGGTCCCTACTTTCAAATTAGAGAAAATACTCTTTCGGGGTAACACTGTAAGAGTGTGGGATGTTTGTGTGTGTATGTGTGTGTGTGTGTGTGGTGTGTACTTACCACTTTCAGATACGCAGACTAGAAAGACATTGTGTCTATAAGCTCTTCCCAAAACTCACCTAAAGTTTCAGGACACAGTGAAGGAGGTCCAAGGCAAAAAGAAACAGGAGTCTAAGGTTTAACGTTCTCAAAATGCCTCATTCTAGAATGCTTTAGAGTTCTATCATTGACTTTTGCTGGAAAGACTGTTTATTCAGAAGAGAATCAAACTAAGAGTTAAGCGCACATCCTATTCAAGAAGGAAAAAGTTTTGCTATTACTCTTACAGCAGATGTTTTTGTAGAAACTCACAGAAGGAGAAAAGGAACTTCTTTAGATCTATGAAACACCAATGAATCTGAGGAATATTTGTGGGATTACTGGTCAGGCTAAACGAGTAGAAACAGAACAGAATGAAAATTTCACTAAAACCCTATTTGAGAGTATAGAGAATGCAACTTCCCCTATCCAAAAGACAATATGAAAATTGTTCAGTATTCTTTAGATGTTAGCAATGAATGATGTTACTTCTAGTGGTGAAATGGGGAAAGAGACAATAGCAAGTTTTACAAAATAATAGTGGTTATGTTATGAGTTTTACAACATAATAGTGGTTTCCTTAACAAAAATAACAAACCACAGGCCACACAGCTGAGCAAAAGGAAAGTTAACATTACTACCCTGACTTTGTAGACTTTGGGGTGCATCTTCTATATGCCAGCAATATTTCACAGAACAGCAAGTACACTGGGTATGTTTCTTTGTGCTACATTTCCCTAATTTGCTTACTGGAAATGACACAGGACCCTACTAAGTTTTACTAGGTTGCTGCAAACATCAAAGTGATTATTTGGGTGTATATTTTGAAGATACATAAAGCATAATACAAAATGCCCTTATCCTGATACTTGCTATAAGAACAATCAAGGATAATGAAGTTCTATTACTTTGGGGATTAGAATATAGAACTTCCTTCACTATAGCTGGGAGATAGAATTTGCCTGGTCCCTCAGAGTAAACCAAAACACTCAGACTTTTTAAGGTCTGATTGGAAATTGAATCCCCACCGCCCCCCGAGAATCAGTGAAGCTCTTTACCTTGGACATATTAAACTACAAGTAGGTGTTTCATGTCTACCTACTGCTCAAGTATTCAAGTGTTTAAGGAAAGAAAGTCAAACCTATTGATGATGTCAAAGACAAAACATTTTGCCTGTGAGAAAACACACAGTACACGTCTTTGCAAAACAGACCTGACAGGTTGAACACAATGATTGAATTTCCTTTCAGAAGTCACGGTTACAGAGACATGCCTTACGATTTTCTTTTCCACCACTGTATGGAAAAGTGTGTATAGTTTCCTTGCAAAGGATATCCAGAGATACCCAATTAAATTACAATTTAGATGCTTCTGCCAGATGTATATAAAGAGTGCAAAATCTTTATTTTTATAATTTTTCTAGTTAACTACATAAAAATCTCAGCGTGGGGCCAGTTTTCACTCAGATTCACTTTTTTAGCAATGCTCTGCAATGGAAAAGATATACAGCAAATAAATATAAAGAAGGCTGAAATAAAATACATTTAAAATTATACTATTCCACCGATTGGAAGGATTTTGGATAATCTAATCTTGATTATGACCTATTCTTCAGTTCAAATTTTTAAAAATGTGTTTTAAGAACAAACAGTGTTGCATTATAACAAGGAGGTGGGGGGGTCATTATTGCATAGAAAGTCTAAGGAATAGGAAGCATATAATGTAGCAGATTTCAAGGACATTGTTTCAGACATTTAACAGGAATTGGAAGACAAAAAATTCTTTTTACAGCTAGCTCAACAATGTTATATAAGAAATAGTATAGTTTAGAAACAAACCCAGAGTCATAAGTAGCATTGTAGATGGGGAAAGGTAAGCATATTACCTCTTAGGGGCATTGAGAAACATTTAATAAGGCATTTAAAACTCAATTGTCATAGAGCACCATTAAATATTCATACAAAAAATGATCCAGACAGCTTAAAGAGAAACATGGTTCATGAGATACCTAACTGACTCCCGATGATACAAATCATTCAATGCATCTGGTTGGGGCCAACACGGATAATCACGTGTTTCTCATAAGCCCGTTTCATTGTTTTCTCAATTTGCTTCAGAAAAACTTGTGGGATTCGTCCACACAAGGTATGCACAGTCTCCAGAAACTTCAGCTGAAGAGGGTAGTACATAGATTGAAAGAGATTGTCTTGAAAGGGAAACTGAAAAATAATGAAAGAAAGAAAAATTTGAATTACTCAAATGTCACTGAAAATGCAAATAACTTTCATTGTAATATGAAGCAGGAACAATCAGAACCACACGAGGAGTCTCAGAGTCTATGTTCACAGGCAGCAGAAGGGATCACTGAGGCACTGAAGATAAATTCTTGACTTAATACTGCGCAACCTTGGGCCATTATTTACCTGCTCTGACCTTCAGTTTCTTTATCTCTTTCTAAAAAATGATTTGGGGCTGAAAGTATAGTACAGAGTGTAAGGTGCTTGTCTTGCATGTGACCGATTTGGGTTCAAGCCTCGGGATCCCAATGGTCCCCCTAGACTGCGAGGAGTAACTCCTGAGTGCAGAGCCAGGGGTAATCCCTGAGGGTTGCTGGGGGATGGACCCTAAAATGATTTATTTGAGTTAAGACTCTTAAAATTTAGGGTCAGAGGGCTGGAGTGATAATACAGTGGGTAGAGCGTTTGCCTTGCACGCGGCCGACCCGGGTTCGATTCCCAGAATCCCATATGGTCCCCTGAGTACCACTAGGGGTAATTCCTGAGTGCAGAGCCAGGAGTAATGCCTGGGCATCGCCAGGCGTGACCCCCACCAAAAAAAATTTAGGGTCAGAGAGACAGTATAGGAGGCAAGTCATTTTCCTGGCATGGGGCTGTACTGGTGTGACCTGGTTCAAAATCCTGGAACATATATGATCTCCTGAGCATGGAGCCAGCACTAGGAATAGTCTCTGAGCACTGCATGATGTGGCTTCGAAACACGCTCCCCTCCACCCCCCCAAAAAAACCCTCCAAAATTAAAATTTTGAAAGCAAAGTATCACTCTGGTCCAAAGAGATAGCACTGGACTAAGGTGCTCGCCTTGAATGTAACCAATTCCAGTTAACTTCCTGGCACCACCTATGGTCCCCTGAGCACCACCAGGAGTGATCCCTGAGCACAGACAGGAGTAAGCCCTGAACACAGCTGGACTGGACCCCTCCTCCCAAAACCAAACACTAACAAAGGCAAAGTATGTCTCTAAAGATGGAGCACAAGGTAAAGAGTACAGTGTGCTCAAAATTAGTGCTGGAAGATGGCTCAAAGGGTTGGAGTGTATGCTCTTCTTGTGGGGTCTCAGGCTCAATCCCCATCACTGAACGGTCCCCTAATTACATCTCTGTGAGTAATCCCTAAGCATCTCCTGAAGAGACCCTAAAACAAAAAATGAACCAAACAAACCAAATACAGTGAATAATCTTTTTAGTTTTTCTTTCCTTGGTAGTAAGCTTAATGAAACAAAGTTAACAGTCAGGTGTGTGTGTGGTGGTGGTGTCTGTGCTTTGGGGGTGGGGAGGTGCTTGGCAATGAATATCAGGAAGCCATGAAACCAGGATGTGATCTGAAAAATGAGTGATCCCATTTGTAGTCTCAGGCTTAAGAAACAGGGTCTGGAGAGATAGTACAGGGGTTCAGTTCAGGCTCTTGCCTTGTATGCAGCCAAGTGCAGTTTAATCCCTGGTACCACATAGTTCCCTAACACTACCAGGAGTTATTACTAGTCACGGACTTGGGAACAGTCTTAACCCTCCCCCCAAATAAATACATTTAAATTTAATGAAAAAGTCATAAATGAAAAAAAAAAAAACCAGACTTGAGACCTAACCCAAACATACAGGCTGAGGCCCCCAGCGGACAACTGAGAGAGCAGGGCCCTGGAAGACTAATGAAGCAGACCCAAGTCCTCTCTGAAGGCCTGCTGGGTCACTGGCAGTGACTCCTTGGGCCGTGGGAGCCCGAGGCCCGGCCATCCTGGAAAGGGCCTAGATGCTGTATTTGGAGGCAGCTGCGCGCACCGAATCTGGGCAGTGCATGGTGCGTCACATCCTTTGCAGCCTCCCATTTGCAATTGCTTGCACCCTTAGAAACTCATTCGGAGCCACCAGAATCCTAGCCTGGGTGCATAATTCCTTCCCTTTGTTTTCAGAGCACTGCACGGAGGTACTGGAACATTTTAATTGGAGTGTGCTCTTTCTTTACACACTCTTTCAGAATTCTTTTTTTTTTTTTTGCCTTTTGGGTCAGACCCGGTGATGCACAAGGGTTACTTCTGGCTCATGCACTCAGGAATTATTCCGGGCAGTGCTTGGGGACCATATGGGATGCTGGGAATCGAACCCGGGTTGACCACGTGCAAAGCAAATGCCCTACCTCTGTGCTATCGCTCCAGCCCCCTTAACAAACTTTTTTGATTGCACTGTTTGGCTGTCTCTTGAAAGTTCCTCTCTGTGAAAAAAGACAGTGAGCCTAAAAGGTCTCAGAGGTCAGGACTGAACTTTTCCTGGGAGGGCATAACCCTGCCTCAGCCTGAGAACTATGGCTCCCTAGAAATGTGTGTAGGAGGAGGGCAGGAACACAGGAACAACTCAGCACAGGTGAGATGTGTCTCCAGTGCAGCTCGGCAGCCGCCTCAGAAGCATTGAGCAGGAGCTGAGACTTGTAGTGGTTCCACCACCACAGCACTCGCTCCGCCTGCAACGTGGTGGTAGGCCAGAAGGAGTGAGTGGGGGGGGGGGCACGCTCTCTACTGGGGCTACACCCTCAAAACTTTATGCCTCTCCCACGTCTCCCTCCCCTTCCCACTGACAACATTTTGGGGGACTAGCCAGGAGAAAGAGTCAAGTCAAAATGGTCACAACACTTTGGGGTATACGGAGGCAGGAGCAGTAATGCAGTAGTTAGGGTGATTGCCTTGCACTCTGCTGACCCATATTCCATCCCCAGTCCTGGCAACCCAGTCCTGAGTCTGCCCAGAGTGACCCTGAGGGCAGAGCCAGGAGTTAGCCCTGACCACTGCTGAGTGTGGCCCAAAACCAAAAAGAGGGATTAAAAAAAAAAAAACCCTTTAGGATATATCAATGGTGAGCTTATGGTCACCACAATTGCCCAGAGCTGAGCAGTTATTAGTGAAACTAATCATTAATGGGCTTTATTTTCATGTTTAAGTATTTATACTGTTGTCACACCTTAGCCCGACTTCATACTGGGTTTTTGTTTCGTTTCCTTTTCTGGGTATCAAACCTGAGCATGCAGAGCTTATGCCCCAGTCCTTTCTTCTTCCTCCCTCCCCCTGTTCAAATCTATCAGGCCACTTAGTGATAGGCAGGTGTCAAAGTTTTATTAAAAATCCTGTTGACTAAGGAAAGCCCCCTCAGGTCAATTTAAAGATTCAGTGTTGATAAGAATGAGGAAAAAGAAAAGAAAAGAAAAGAAAGGTGAAGGGGGCAGGGCAGTACTCCTCCATCCCAGCAAGAGTGGGCGCTTGGTTTCCCAGAATGTCTGAACACCTTTAAAGGTCATCCCCAGCCTTAGCTAAGTGTGTTTACCAGAAACAAGGCTTTCTTCTCAGAAGGAGATTATGCACTTCGTAACGTGAGACCTCTTTTGGGATGCTTTTTCTTCTCTGACAGAACTGAGACCATTGATAAACTCTCACCTGCCCCTGGATCTGGGGCTTGGATATCTAAATGTGGTGACATCACAGAAGAACAGAATAAACTGATGTAATTCAATCATGGGGCCCTGGGAAACTAACGCTACCCAGCTATCCAAGGCGATCAGAATAAGCCTACCTGCTACTCTTTTCAAAAAGGCTCTTGAGAACAGAATCCGGCGGTGCAAGCTGGAGCGAAACAACAGGTAGACCCTAAGCCTTGCAAGCGGCTGACCAGGGTTTGATCCCTGGTGTCCGATATACTGAGACTGCCAGAAGCAATCCCTGAGTGCAGAGCCAGGAGTAAGCCCTAAACAATGGTGGGTGTGAACCCAAAACATCAACAACAAAACAAAACAAAACAAAAATCATCTGGCCTTTGCCATCCAACAGCAGGAAATGTAGGAGAATAAAAATGCATGAGGTTGGCCATCTGAAACACTCTCCCAGCATAAAGACCATTATGGTAACTCCACAGCTGAAATTCTCTGGGATTCTCCTTAGCAAAATGCAAAAGTGCATATACACAGGGTGTGTTATTACATGCAAGGATTCACCTCAACCTCATTCCTGCAAGAGCCTCAGGAGGGTTTATGAACTCAAGAGGGTTTCAGAGCCAAGAAAAGTTTTCCTAGGGCTGAAGAGGTAGTATAGAGGGTAAGATGCATGCCTTGCATGTGACCAGCCTGGGAGTTCTATCCCCAGCATCACATAGGGTCTCTTGAGTCCTGCAGGAGTGATCCATGAGCACAGAACAAGGAGTAAGCCCTGAGCACCACCAAGTGTGACTCCAACACCCTCAACCGCCCGCCACCCTGCAAAGGAGAAAACGTCCTAACGACGTCTACGTATTTTTAGCCAAGGGTTGGTCAACTATATCCATGAAGGACTGGAGAGTAGATAGGAAGTTTGTGGGTCACACAGTTAGTGTAACCATCTATGCTGTTGTGGCTAGAAAAAAGTCACAAATATTACATAATTGAATGGATGTCACTGTGACTATACAGCTTCATTAATAAATCCTAACGTGTGAATTCCATATAATTTATTCTCATGTCATGAAGTAGACTTCTTTTAATTTCCCCCCTAACTGCTTAAAACAAAACCAGTTGATTCATCCACCCGTCTTTCAGAATTGAGCAGTAAGCTAGATTGGGCTTCATCTGCAGATCCTACTCTACATCGTGGAACTTCCTCTCCATTACAGTCATGGTGATGGTCACCACTGCTGTTCTGTCCTGAGGATACAGGGAAGGGAGAGGTTCCCAGAGTGTGGGAGGCCAGGTGGGGGCAGCAGGACTCTGATTTTAGGTGAACTCCAAAGGAAGTCTCTCCCAATCTTCCCATTTACTCAGGAAGTTAATTCACATCACCTCTATGTCCTCAACACTTGCTAAACCACCTCTTCAAGAAGGTGAGGGGAGACTCAGGCTGTGAGAGTTCAGCTCCATCCAGGCTGGAGCCTAGCTATTACCTTGAGACACAGCTGCCCTCCCTGTATCGGGTGTGGTGCAAAGACAGTATCCTGTGGTTTTCTTAGGAAAAAGACAGTGTCCTGTGATTTTTTTTTTTTTGGGCCATACTCAAGTGATGCTCTGGCCTTACCCCTGGCTTTGCATTCAGGGATCCTGGTGTTACTTGAGGGACCAAATGGGTGTTGGGGATTGAACTTGGGTCGGCAGCATGCAAGGCAAATGCCTTACCCACTTGGTTCCTGCCCTATAATTTTGTTTGTTTTGTTTTTGAGCCACACCTGGTGATACTCAGAGCTTACTCCTGGCTCTGTACTCAGGAATTACTCCTGGTGGTGCTCAGGGGACCATACGGAATGCCAGAGATTGAACCCAGGTTCTCTGTGTGCAAGGCAAATGCCTCACCTGCTGTACTATTGCTCTGGCATCCCCGTGCCCTGCAATTTTCTTAGGAAGTGGTAGACAAGGACCTGTATCAGCTGTCCAGCCTGCTGAGTATGTCTAGTTTCTGCTTCTTGGGAAGCTTATGTGAGCTATGTTTCTCTTTGACTGTATTTCCATGCCTCCATGCCTTTCTATGCCTCCTTCCTTCTAGCCCTCCCATGGATCCAGGAAGAGGCAGGTGCCTTTCACTTAGTAATGCTCACCAGCTTCTGGGTACAATCTTTGGTCAGGAGCCTGTGGTGGGTAAAAATGGTACACCAGGGTGCTGGAGTGTCTTTCTGCCTCTTGCTTACCCAGACGTAGTATATAAATAAAGCTTTGAATGTGACCTATGTTGGCCTGCTGGTTCTCACCGACTACCTTGATATCTGATTGTTCAACAAGGTGAAGCTGACAACCAGGCAACACATTCCACTCAAACTGAATTATTTTGTTCTTTAGTGCATTATTTTTTGTGGGTATGAGGGGTTTTGAGGCCAAATCCAGTAGTGTTTAGGGACAATCCTGGCTCTGCACTTAGGAATGACGCATGAGGGTGCTGGCGGGGGGGGGGGGGGGGCGGGGAGGGAGGGCATGGGGGTGGCATATGGAGTGTGCAGGAATTGAACCTGAACAAGCAGCATGCAAAGCAAGTGCCTTACCTCCTGCCTCATCTCTTACCCTTCTTATTGTATTATCCTTACCCTAAGTCCTTACCCTCCATAATGTCAAATGGTACCTGGCTTCTCTTACTGATGGAAAACTTCCTCCTTCAGTGCACTCATTTAAGGAGCAAAAAGCAGCCACTGACTTGGAAATATGAAGTTGAGTGCATCTAGTATAAGGTGTCTAGTGGATTTCATGAAACACATTAGCAGAGGTAACTTGAAGCTCTCGGAGAGTGTGTTCATGGGGTTGGGGCTCAGAGTGCCTGCCCTGTTTCACGTTGATAAGCCAGCATCCGTGGAGGGCAGGGAGCACACTTACATCCCGTATTGCTTCATAGAGTGCTTTGAAAGTCGGCTGCTTATCGTCATGGTAGACGCCTCGGTTCCCATGCAGGATAGATACACCCTCACGCTCGGCCTCTTTGCAGTTGCTTCCGTACATGCAGTGATCAGGACGGTAGTTCCACTGGCAGGGGATCACATAGAGACTCTCTGGTGGTGACAAGAGAAAAGACGGGCGGGAATGAGTCAGTGCCCAGTGAGAAAACTGCCACCTGCACGTGACTCAAGGGTAAGGAGAGCCCTGGCATGCCCAGAATAAAAATAACCACTTCTGTCCAATTTCGGAATTAGGAATGGAAGGAGACATGCATTAGAGACAGTGCAGCTTTCATCCCCAAAAGGAGGGCATGGCTGAGAGGGCGAATAAGGGCAGAGACAGATGGGACAGGCCCTTATCTCTAGGCTGAAGAGGCCTGACCAAACTCTTCTTTATTTTTTTTTGTTTTTTGGGTCACACCTGGCGATGCACAGGGGTTATTCCTGGCTCTGCACTCAGGAGTTACTCCTGGCGGTACTCAGGGGACCATATGGGATGCTGGAATTGAACCCGGGTCGGCCGCATGCAAGGCAAATGCCCTACCCGCTGTGCTATCTCTCCAGCCCCCCAAACTCTTCTTTTGATGATGAACTTTCTTTTTCACAGGAGTTGATGGGACAATGCTCAGGGCTTACTCCTGTCTCTGCCACTCAGGGATCACTCCCGCTGGTGCTGGGGGACCATACAGGGTACAAGAGAATTGAACTTTGCCCAGCTGCATGCAAGACAAGTGTGTCACCTGCTGTACTATCTTGCTAGTCCCTGGATGATTAACTTTTTTTTTTTTTTGCTTTTTAGGTCACACCCGGAGATGCACAAGGGGTTACTTCTGGCTCTGCACTCAGCAGTTACTCCTGGCAGTACTTGGAAAACCATATAGGTTGCTGGGGACAGAACCTGGGTCAGCCATGTTCAAGGCAAACGCCCTACCCGCTATACCCTCCAGCCCTCCAATGATTAACTTTTAAAAACCCACATAACATGCTTAGTAGAGTGCTATGGGCACAGTGGCTCAGAGCACTTATAATAAACTCTTCCAAAGTTTTGTGAAATGGACAGACTTGAAAAACAATAGTCAAGATTTATGCAGACACTCATGAAATCAGATACAAACAAACCAAACAAAGGAGAAGAAAAGCCATGAGAGCAACTGGAAAACACCCCAAGAAGAGAAACATAAGAAGTGCAAGTACTAAGGTAACTGCCTCTACACTGCAGGTGCACGGGGGGTGTCTGTAGCTCTGGTCCTGTGGTTTTCCCCAATTACCACTGGAAGGAAGCCGCTCCTGGCATCTGGTGGGTGCAGAGACCAGGCATGCTCTAACCATGCCAGCATGAACAGCATGGTCTCCAAGCACTTCTAACGCAACAATGGAACATTTACCTTAGTCCTATTGATTTAGAAGAGTTCCTCCCGGGCACTAAGATTAAAAGACAACCAATAAGTTCATGACTCCATAAAGGTCTGTTTTCTCCACCGGATGCCTTTAAATGCACTGAATCATGGCACTCTGAAAATGCATCGTTGATTATGGGAGAGGCCCCGCAGGTGAGCACACAGGGCGGATTGAGAATTGTGATTAGAAAAGCAGTTTGATGGAAACCAAGGGCGAACAAAGGACGAACGCATCAGGGCAGGCTGTAGGATGCTCTCAGCACTGTCTCTTGCAGGACCTAGAAACACCAGGTATCTGCTATAAAATTCCTAACTGCTCAGAACAGACTTGATTCTTCTTTTCTGGGGAACTCTGGGTTTCACCGTGATGTTTCTTTTACTTGCATTCAGCTCCACTTGCATACACACACACACACACACACACACACACACACACACACACACACCATAGCTGGGAGAGGTCAGAGCATCATCTGCTCACCCACAGTCACAAGTCTCTGGTTTGAATCTCAACTCCTTGATCAGCTGTGGGAGCTTTCTGCACTTTATTTTATTTATTTTTCCTTTGGGGCCACACCCTGTGATGTTCAGAGGTTACTCCTAGTTCTGCACTCAGCAATTACTCCTGGTGGTGCTTAGGGGGGTTGGCATATGGGATGCCAGGTATCAAACCCAGGTTGGCTGCGAGCAAAGCAAGTGCCCTACCAACTGTACTATTGCTTTAGTACCACTTCCTGCATTTTAATGCAGAAGCAGAGGGTAGATGTGAAGACTGCATGAGCAAAAATATCTAAATATCTTTGGTGCTTTGCTCTGGGCCTGAACCCAGTCCAACCGCTCCTTGGCTTTGACCATCCTTATATTTGCCGGGGCATTTACATTTGCAGTCTCTGCTTAAAACCCTACCGATATTCCTTGTTGAATGAACAGCTGTAGACTCTTACCTCTGCTTTTGTAAATGCATTGATTGACTGAATCGACTGAATTGGCAATTGAAACACAAAACCAAACCAAACCAGAGCCCACACTCAGTAGTGCTCAGTGGACTAAGGGCCAATCCCAGAGATGCTGGGCCCAGGAGTGCAGGCCTGGCCGTTGATCTTCTGCCTGGCAATTGCTCAGGGGCCGTCAGGGCTACAGCTGGTTCCAAGGGCGTGGAGGCATGCAGCTCTGGGACTCAAACTCAGGGCCCTGCACACATGCTCTACCACGTGAGCTTACCGCCCCAATCCTCAACATTCAAAACAAAACAAAATGGGCATTCCTTGAGCATTCTGTGGACACTGTCCAGTTTCTGCCACTAGGAAATTTCTATTGCTGATGAAAGTTTTCCCAAGTGGTTTAGGAACCCATCACCAAAGAAGCTTCTTTCTCTTTGCAGCCTCTTTATAGGACTGTGCCTTGCACGAGTGAAATACAAAGGCTTGGAAACAAAACAGATATGATTTAAAGTTGACTTCTACACATCCACATCATCGCTCTATGAGATTTTAGTGAATCACCATGACAACTGACCTTTGCTTAGAAACAGTAAAGAGAATCTCCAGGTGTGACCCCAAAACAAAAACAAAACAAAAATACATTCTCAGTGGGTCAGAGAAATAGAACAGTTAATAGTACAGCTGCCCAAAGCCAAGCAGGTTCAATCCCTGGTGCCCTCTATGGTTCCCTGAGGACCTCCAGGAATGATCCCTGGGCACAGAGCCAGGAATAAGCTGCAAAATACCCCCCCCCAAAAATTCCCAGACTAATCTCTCTCCTCTCTCTCTCTCAACTTATTTATTTATGCTTTTTGGCCACACCTGGTGGTGTTTTGAGGACCATTTATGCCAGGGATCAAACCTGGGGCTCCTTTGAGCAGGGCATGCATTTTAACCCTCTAAACAATCTTCTTGACTCAGTTCTTAAGATCATTTTTATGTATTATATAAGAAAAGCAAATACATACCGTTGAGGTGAAGGCAAATTAAACTGTTTTAAGATGAAAAAATAGTTTCATCAGCACATTTTAAACACTGGAGAAGTGCAGCCTTAGGGCTGGATAAGAGCTTAGATATTCAGCTACATGATCTGGGAACAGTGCGGTGCAGGGCATAACGGAGGCCATGCAGGAGGTGACAACATTCAGGCAACTCACTTGTCTCCTTCCAATCTGTGGCCAGGACCCTAAGGTGAGTCCCCAAAGCTGGGCCACTGCAGGCAGAGCGCTCAGCAGGTGGAGAGCCGACTTCGCATGCAGAAGCCTGACTAATCTCTGGCTCCACAAGACCCCCCCACCCCCAAAGATCTGGGAATAGCCCTGGAGCACTGCTGGAGTTGGTTCCCAAACCAAAACCAACAAAAAGGTCAGGTGAGGAGGGGTAAGGATGTGACTAGATGGTAGGGCATTTCCCTCAGATGTGTGAGGGCAAGACAAATGCCCTACCTGTTGTCCTATTGCTTTGGCCCTAAATAAAACTTTATTACTCACTCTCTTTTTTTCCTGTGAGGGAAGGCAAAGGACCAGGAAAGTTTGGATAGAATCTCAGACTGATTTTCCTTTCCTACAATTCCACAGCTCCCCGAGAAATCTGGTGATGGGTCACCACATCGGGTAGCAACACTGTGACTTAGGTACAGTTTGAGGACTGTCTTGGGCTGGTGGAATGTGAGGTCTTGGGAATGTAAGGTCTATGCCGCACAGGTACTCAGAGCAGACTCAGAGAGTCCTAAACTTTTCCTGGCACTCCCTTGGGTTACTGGGGGGGGGGGGGGGGAGAGAGAGAGAGAGAGAGAGAGAGAGAGAGAGAGAGAGAGAGAGAGAGAGAGGAGAAGATAAAACAAAACAAGGAGAAGACTCACTTCTTGAGCCCATCACTCTTCTCCCCATTTCACATAACATGAATGTTTTGTTTGTGAGAACAGAAACCTTGTCCATCCTTGTGAAAGATGGCACACAATAGGAGCTCAAAAATGTTGTTCTCACTCCCTGTATATCCTTCCCTTGTGCTTTTCTTTTTTTGTTTTTTCTTTATCCTTTCTTGGGCTGGAGCGATAGCACAGCGGGTAGGCGTTTGCCTTGCAAGTGGCCAACATGGCCGACCGGAGTTCAATTCCTCTGCCCCTCTCGGAGAGCCCAGCAAGCTACCGAGAGTATCTCGCCCACATGGCAGAGCCTGGCAAGCTCCCCATGACGAATTCGATATGCCAAACACAGTAACAACAAAGTCTCCAATGGAGACGTTACTGGGCCCGCTCGAGCAAAACGATGAACAACAGGAGGACAGTGACAGTGACAGTTAGATTTTTCTCTTCTTTTTTTTTCTTGGCAACTTTTGCTTATTACATTTTATTTTACCTCGTGCTTTTCTTTGGGAATGTTCTCTCCCATTTACTTCCCCGTTCACTCTATTCTTTTAATTCCGTTCATTCCACCAACCTACACTTCCACAGCCCAACTCCATTTAAGGCACCCAGTTCTGCTCTGCGAAAGACAATTCTTCTCACACACTCCATCTTCTCTTGAGCTTATGTCAGAGCTCAGGAACTTCCATAACTGCCTCAAACAATGACTTGATGCCAGTATGCCGGAACAGCCCTCGCACCATCTGTGGCATGTCAGCCCACATCCCACGCATAACCGCCAGTGCCTCGGGGAGAGCAGAGTGTATTCCCCTACCCGGCCATCAAGGCAGTGATCCAAGCAGGGTGCGAGCAAGCTACAGGGCAGGCTACTTA